ATAGGTATTACGCTCTGGAGTTCTTCGCTCTGGACCAAAAACGGAGCTGAAAGAGACTGAACATTGGACTTACATTGCCAACTCTGAAATAATGATAATGTTGCTCTGTAACTGCTGGATGTAAACTTTTTGCTACTGTGTTTGCTGTATAGAGAGAGTATTGCTGTTTTAGTGTATTAGAGATTAGTATAATAAAGTATAATGCATTATAGTTGTGCCTTTTTGAGTGACAGGAAATAATGTAGTAGTTTAAAGCAAAACAGATATTGTGGTTCACAGTGTATTGTAGATCACAGGGGCTTCAGGATGCCAGATTGTGTAATCTTATGTACAATCAAAGTGAGAGGGTTGGTTTGTATATCTAACACCCAATAATCTGAATAGAAAGTATAAAAGAAAATGCACACATATAGAAAGGGAGACCCAGGTTGTCACACATTCCATACAGGTTAAGGTACATCTCTCAGTTTGTAAACACAACTGATTTTGCGTGTTGTGCAGTCCACCTTCTTTGTTTCACTTGTTTGCTTTGACAACAAAGGATTATTGGTACTGTCCACTGTGTGTGAAGCTGAGGGTGGAAAAGAGGATGGAGGAAGGAGGAAGGAGGGGCAGGTCAGGTTTGATCATGCTTTCAGGAGCTGTGCGTGGCTCTGTGCCGCAGGGAGGGAGGAATGGTAGGTGAAAGGGCACTGGCAGCTGCCAAAACTGCTACCCACTGAGCACACAGTGAGCAAACTGCAACTGGCTTACTGCAGTGCTTTACATGTAATCAATTTTGCATTTAAAGGGACACACAATCTTACAATCAATGCAAATGTTTCGGAGTGACAGAAATTTGACTTATGTCCTCTTATAACTGAGCCTTACGCCAGCTGTTTTATAAGTTGCTTGAATTCAAACATTCATGGGACAGGAAATACAAGTTTACTGATTACCCAGATGATCATTTCTAATTGCCTGGTAAGCTCAGCCAACCAAAAAATCAGATGAAACTCCAGCTTTGGCAGCCCACCACACTTTTCACAGGCTTAAATTTTTGTGTTTGTTCATCAACCAAGTCAGGAGGATGAAGGCAAAAGGTTGCAAGGATTACAAGGCTTTATACAGTTGCGTTTGTTTGTTGTGTGTTGGGTTGAACATTGTCAGATTGTGCTACATGCTGCCAGTAGGAACATGCCCAGTGGTTTGCCCAAAAGCATTTTCTGTATCACACACTTCTTCTCAAGTAGCCCCTTTTTTCACTTTAAAAAAATATTGATTCATTGATATTGCATGTTTGCGAAGTCAAGTGAAAACCAAATGTCAAACCAAAATATATTGCACGCCTCTAAACTTCAGACTTTGACCAAATACACAGATAATAAGCTGAAGTGCTGATTATCTTACTTCCTTTTTTGAGTTGAAAGTCATCTACCAGTGATAGTTATTTTGGTCTGATCTGAATGTAAAACAACCAACCAAACAAAAGCGAGTCATTGCTTCTCTTATCTTATGTCATTGTTACAGGTATGCGACAATCCAAGGCCTTAATGAAAAAACTGCAGATAATTTCGCTTAAGCAGCCCTAAAGGAAGGATGATAATGCAAGGCAACGGAAGCTGAAATATATTGAGAAATACATCTTCATACTTCTATAAAATGCTTCTATCATCCTCTGTGATGTAGAAACCCTACATATGGTGGCCCTGCAGTCACTAAATAGAGCTACAGCCTCCATCAGGTTGTGCATAACGTATCATTATGGTCCATGGTATTTCGGCGTTAAGGTCGTAATGACCTATCCTGAGAATGTTTGTTTGTTTGGAGCCAGATGTTTCTGGATCTAAACAATGCGACTGGATGATGCAGGAGTTTACCTCTGATTGTTTCACAGCTCTAAGCTGCTTATAGAGGCATTGCTTGGTTATTTTCAGTTCACTTTAAAATTACATAAGAGTCAGTTTATTCTTTATTTCATTGTGATTCATCTTAATGTATTTGCCTTGAAACAGTTGCACCAGCTGTTCAAACATTGTTTAGTTATTAGTTGTTACCAAATATTTACACACATGAACAACCAGGTGCAACTGTTGCACAGCTAACTGAACCAACTGGCCCCAAAACTGTCGTGTTTGCATGTTATATGAGAGCTTGTGCTGCTACAATGATGCTACAGAGTGCAAATGAACATGTGGCTATCACAACTTTTCATCTCACCCTCAATGCTGGTATTGGCTAAGTATCAGGGGGTGGGTGTGTGACTCAGTTTGTTTTTATCAAGCCTAACTATATTAGCTACAGTGTTCAAGAAATGATGATTGTGCTTAGACAGTGAATTTGTTAAAAATAAAATACAAACTTTGAAAGGTTATCTTGCAATGTTGCATAAATTCCTCTATTTGAAAAAACCACCACTGAGTAAAAGTTGCGTATGAAAATGCAAATTTCACTTCCTTCTCATTTTTAACATTTTTCTGGTTAGCCTGATCATGTCTTGTCTCATGACAAAGTTCTGCACAGACTGATAATGATTTCATTATGTCTCACCAAAGCATACGGTTATATAATAAAACAAATGTCTTCTGTGAATATATACAGTACATTTAAACTGTCAAATCTACAAGAAATGTGACAATGTACTCTACGTATGTGCCTACTCAATATAGAGTTTAGTCGTTGCTGAGAGATAATGCATGTTCCACCATCCTGTTATCGGATCCATGTTTCTTTTTCTTTCTTCACGTGTTGTCTCAGTATCACTGTTACAGCTGAGGATTGTAGGTATGCACGGTCATATCTCATATTGTGGTTAATGGTATTGTAGATTTCAGACAAACAATGAACAACACGGTATTACATGTCAGGGTCATGAGATCTGTTTGTTACAGACTAGTATCTGTTTAGAGCTACAAACAATTGCCCCTTGACTATTATATCTCATGTTATTTCTTTTAGAGCTGGTGACTGAAAATCATCTTTGTTGCATAAAATTCTGCATTTCTAAAGTTAGGACCATGATTATGCTTTCAGCGGAAACATTTAGAGCCTTTAGTCTTATTTTTAATGCTGTTTGTTTTGACTCTCTGCTGCATCACTCTTGCTTTACATTTCTGCAGTCATTGAGAGGCCGTGCCACCCTACAAAGAATTGGTTTAAGTTGACCTAAATAGTACTTTGATGAATGAATCATCCCATAGAGAAGCAGAGGGTATTTCCCTCTACAAAATGCTCTGAGGCATGTATATTTTTGTATTCTCAGGGAGGGGCTCTTCCTCACCACCGGGCATTGTTATTGTATGAGCTTCTTGGTCATTATCTCCTGACAATACAATAAGCTGGTGCAACCTGTTGTGGTGTGAAATCTTTATCTATTTTTAACCATCCATATTCCTCGATGTAGACAGTTGCATACTTGATTTACTTTTCTCAATAGAATTGTGTGGAAATATGTTTTGCTCCTGCTCTCTGGCAGTATTTCTGTTATAACATCCAACTGCTCAGTGGACGTTTGGGATACTGGCCTATTGCTTAGATTGTTCTGTTTCTCATTGAAATGCCATGTGGAAACGGGTGGAAAGCTTACAAGTCTTGGATTGAAAAACTGATTCATGAACTGCATTTTGTGCTAAGCTATGAGCTGAACATTATTTGGCGAACACCCTGGGAATCCCCCTCCTAGATCATTTGAGAAGTTAAATCCTCCCCTTAGCCTGAGGTTTATGGATTTGTTTCCCTAGATTTCGACTTTGACTAAAGCTTAGAGCAAACTAATAAATAAATTAGATCACATCTTAATTCATCTGTTGCACAAAGCTGTCTAAGTCTTAAGTATCTTAAGTAGGACATTTACCATAAATTCTGGGTAAATTAAGACATAAGGGTGTGTTTTTTCCACTGCGCTGCACAGCAAGGTAAAGTCGTTGTTGTTGTTGTTGTTAGAGTTTGTGTAGTCACAAACCACAGTATCACAAGAGTCTGTCGCCTGCAGCCCTTTTCACTGGTTTGACAGTGGAAAGCTTTTTTTAATGTGAAGCAGCAACCTCCGATACGACTGAAAGCAATCAGTAAACAGCAATATAAGATTGATATCTAAGGCTGATATCTGAAAGTACAAACACAGGAGTGAAACTAAACTCCAAACCACAGACATTCATGTAGAAGCTATAAAAGTGGTGAGAGCTGAACACAGATACTTTTAAAAACAAGGCTTTGACTCTATTCTCCAGCACAGGCATATGTTTAGCCACTGAAGAAGCCACTTAGTGGAGGAGACGGTCACGGGTTGGCTGTGGTCAGCCCTGCTACCAAGCAGGACCACAGAAGTGCATCTTGGTGCGGCTATCTGTTGCTGTAGTGGAACGCATGTTATCACGGGTTGGCTCAGCACGACGTGGTTAAAGCAGACCAACCTGGGCTAATGGGGGTGGAAAATAAAGTTTCCATGGGCAAATGAAAACAACGGACAGTCTCATCACTGCTTTATATTTCCAGGTTACTGTGGTCTGTAAAATCTCTTTCACTTTTCAATACATGTTGGCAAACAACAAATTATGATTTTTCTTGCTTGGTGTCACTGCTGACTGTGTGATTAGGATGTCCAGAAAAGAAAGAACAAGTGTCATTTCCTTAAATACAGTATAGACATTGTGTCTACAAAAATATCTGGACAAGACACCTGTAAGCATTAATGGGGAAAAAAACAACAACTTTGTATTCCTAAATGGCTCCCCAGTCATCTCCAGCTGTCTTATTTTTTTATTCAATGAAGGTTGCACAGTGTTCCTCTCAGCTTAGTGGGTTTAGCAGCATACACCTTTCCACAAGGTAATGTAAAAACACTCTGATAAATGCCTGACAAAGTTTTGGCTTTCATTTGGCTGTTTTTTTTTGAATGATCAGAATGAACAAAGTAGAAACTATTTTTATAATGTGGACCTCTTCCTTATGTGCTTATAACAGCCTCTAGTACAATATTACATGTATTTTTAACTTTGTGATTCTTTTGTCTCTTCCTATAGTTGGACAACATCCTCTACCCTCCCTGCACATCCCTCAGAAAGTCCAGTAACCCCGAGCTGACTCATGGATTAAGTGCTGCTCTCAAATTTAGGCGACATCTAAGTGAGGATGGAAAACACGTTCGAAGAAGGAGCCTTGGGGGTGGTCTCACAGGTATTTATTTTTTTATACATGGGCTTACCATTTTAGATTCTCACAAGTTTGTAGGCTTTAGACTGCCAGATGTATACAGTAAGTACATTTACATTGATTCATTTAGCTGACGCTTTTATTCAAAGCGACTTACAATTGCTAGATGTGTCAGAGTGTGGAATTGAGCCCAGGTCTCTCACACCAAAGGCATGTGTCTTATCCACTGCACCATCACCACGCAGTAACTGATGCCACAGCTCTGTGTTTGTATGTTTTCCTATAGGGTTTGGAAACTTGCTACTAGAACAGCCGCGTTTTCTTTATTTCCCATGCAATTGTAAATCATAGTCTCCAAACTTGGCACACACATGGTAAATGCATGAAATCAGAACCTCAATGCTGTACTGTGTCTTACTTGGCCACAGTTCACATGCTATATGTGAAATTTAATTCAGTCCTTTACTTTACTTGGGAGGACAGTTTGCATAGGTTAAATATATTAGCCTGCTATTTACAATGGATCTCCTGTTCAGCCTGATTTGTCTTTAATGTTATTAATCTCACTGTAGGTAACCACACATTAAGAAAACTTGTACAGTATCCAATAACCAAACATACACGTTTCTCATCAGATCACTTAATCATTCTCCCCTTCCCTTCTGAAACTCACCTTCACACGTTGTTTCCACCGTTTCCCATAGCTTGAAGATTTATTAGTGGTCGACCCCAGAGGGAGAAAAATGTTTTATGTTAATCCTTATCACGTTAATGGCCACAAACCAATGACCATCTATCACTCGGAAACCATGGATGCTCCTTAATGGGTAATTAATACCCCTTAATGACTCTACAGAATAATTTCACCCAAATCAAAAACACGTGTTACCTCCTACCTTTGGTGATATCCAGCCATGATAGATTTATTTTTATTTGCTGTGGTTTTGAGATCTTGCAGACTTGTGTCACCATCCCGGTACAATGGTGGTGGTGAGCGAAATTTCATTTGTGCAGTTCAAAGCAATGAAAAATGACTTGAAAGATGTATTTCCAGAAGCTGCCTTGGTTACTCAGAATAATCAGGATAATCCACAGACCCTGCTGTGAGCTTTTTTTGGTGTTTCCTACTTTTGTGGAGAAAATAGTTCCCAAGGGCATGCTTTGAAGTAAAAACTCCACTTCAAATGTGACTGTTTTCACTTGCCGCAAGTAGTGGTACACACTCACCATCTATTACTTAGACCTGGTCCTGAGGAGGATAGCTCAAGGAATGCAACATGACAGTGTCACGCTTGGCAGGGCACCGTTTATAAGGCCATCAGAGATAAATTTGATAACGCCAATAGGATTACATCATCATCTGCAAATGGAAGAGATGCGACCCAAATGTCAACAAAATGGTTGCCCTCCAGGGGACGTATTACAAAAACTTCCTAACCCGCAGATCCTATCCTAACTGCTTGGTAACCATAGTAATAAGGGTTAGGAACTGAGTCCTGAGTTCCTAAGTCAATGTTCCTTTCCTAACATAAGATAAGAAAAGTGTATTACAGAAGCATCCTAACTTCGTAAAATCTTAAATAAACTCTCCTAACTTTAGGAGAACTGTTAAGCTGTCCTAACTTTTTCTTTTCCACCTGGTAGTGTTTGCTAACTCATCAAAATGCAAAATCATAAAAATGTGAACAGGCGGAACTTATTAATTGATTCTACCAATGTGTTTGATGACAAAACACTCGTTAGTAGAAAGGCTGTAGCCGATGAAATGCTGGATAATGTCTCATTATATAACCAAATGTAAAGGATTGATGTAACAAAAGTATCCAAATGCAAGTCTTTGATAGAAGGAGATCGTTAAATTCAAGAAATGCATGAAAAACATGATGACGTTAGCCTGCAGCCTTTATTATTATTATTATTATTTATTTTTCCCTTGATTGTTAACTTTCCCGAGAAGAGTAGGGGTTTCTGCCGGGGTCAGCAAGGGAGCACAGGAGGAGCCACCACCGGTTTTCCTCTGCTCTCTGGACACAACAGCTGTCTTTCTCTTCGTGTCACTGTAAATGGACTTATTTTCTTTTTAGCAGCATCAACGCTCTGCTGGATGCCGGATATGTGACTGTGTCCGCTATTTTAGCCCCAAGATGAGCGTTATGTGGATTTGGATTTTTCGGCGGAGGTTACAAACACCTCGAAGTCATCTGACTTGAAGTTCAATGATAGTTGTTGTTTCTGCTCCATTTTCAGTGTATGTTTCATTTAAAAAATGACAAAAAAAACAACGATTAAAAGCTGTTTAGCTCAGCAAGATGAGAAAAGTAGCATCTGTTGCTAAGTAACAGACACAAAAATTGATAACCAATGTTGGATTGAGTATTTAGGATTTCCTAACCTGAAATAAGATGGGATGAAGTAAGATAAGATAGAATTCCTAAAGTTAATTAGGATTTGCTTTCTGTAATACCAAATTGGGGAAATCTTAAATTCTTCCCATCTTTACTTAAGACTTAAGATAGGAACTTTCTGTTATATAGCCCCAGACATATAAAACATTAAGGTATCATTTCAAGGTAATGTCCACTACAGGAACACATGTTTCTGCCAAAGTTGGAACAGTTTTTATGATTTCACATGATAGATTTCTCATGCTGTTTTCTCGAGTGCTCCTCTTACTGGTTTGAAGGGGGCAGGAAACAGTTTGAAATAAGGTGATGTTGCATACTTCAGAGTACCAATCAGGATTTAGCAGTATGGCTATCAAAATGTGATGAAAGTTTGAGGATGGAAGTTGCTTTAAGGATAAACTGCACAAATCCTTGACCTGTAACTGTCCATACATCACCAGCTGGTGTTAGCTCATGCCCCCATTATGCACTTTTATGAGTCTTCTCAGCAATTAACTGTTATAAAGAAATTTGTGAAGTGAGGTGTGTGGTTAAAATGTGAGATGTGAGGTTGAAAATATCCATTATGTTTTGAATTTCTATAGCTACATTTAGTCTCTGGAAATAAGGAACAATACATGAGCTAACACGCTTATTACTTGCATGGTTGACTGTCATTAAGACTGCATCTTGTGTGTGCTTCCATAATGAAACAGGCTGTGTTCCTGTGATGAGGAAATGTGTAGTCAGCAGAGAGCTATCCCCTTGGAATTGTAAAATTGAGTGTGTGAGGATTTGTGATTTTCAGTTGGTGGGTTGGTAGCAAATCCTGCAGCATGGACTTGGAGAATACAAACTACTTGACTGGATTTAGTACTTCTAGTTGGAGTCACAATATACTGCACATCCAATTTATATCCCGTTCCAGTAACATGTGATCTATAACAGCTGGGCAAATGGGAAAGAGAGGTGCATGCTGCTATGAAAATAAACTGTAATTTAATTCTGCCTCTGGATAGAGTAGTGTGTCTGGCTCACATGATGCATAGATAAACTTCTCTCTGGGTAACGACAGATATACAGTACAGCTGTTCTATTGTGACCACATGCTGGTTTGCTTCCATTCAGAAAATTGGAAGACTCCAGGCTGATTGTCTGTTTAAGGGTTTTGAACAGTGTTCTAATTGGAGGACTTTCACCTCACTGATTAAAATGTTGACCTTTTTCACAGTCAATGAAAGATTGTGTTTTCATCAGGTGCAGGTTTGAATGAATGCATTGCCCTTTACTAATTGGTCTACATAAAAACAAGATTGATAAGCAAACATTAACCTGAAGCAAGTCAACTTGCAGTGATTTGAAGATGAGTGTGATGTGTTTGTTTCTGATAGAGATTGTGTTTTACTTCCTGCTTTGATTTTACATATCTTAATTTGTTGTCACAGTATAGCTTGTTTGTGCTTGCCACCTGCACAGTACCTGAGGCCATGGAATGGTTTAGACATGTTTTATAAAACATAGACAATAAGTTATTATGAAAAGATCAGTTAGACAGTCAGACAGATGTATCCTAAGCATGTCTATAAATTCACTCAGGTACCAGGAAGTAGTAATGGAAATGAGGCACAAACCCAGACTTCACAAATGTTGTGTTTAGTACATCAAATGTTATTCCTTTGAAATGATGGTCTTTAGAAAAATCCATATTATACAGTAAGTTATAGGACTAATACAATCAAATCTTTATTTTGGGAAAAAATGTTATACAAGAATACTTGTGTTTTTAATCACCCAAGGTGAATGAGTTGTTTTTCTCTCTGTAAATAGTTTTAATGCTTTACAACCCTGACTTAGAATAACTTGCCTGAAAAGCCAGAGCCTTGTTTACCCTTTGGTGAGTCTGACAGGATGAGTCAGTGCTGAAACTGAGAAACTTTTAATATTAAATGTCAAGCTGAATGAAACCCAGTTAAACAGTGACAATGTGTGTAGAGATTTTTGATTTCTTTATATTTTATGATTGATGCAGAAGAGGTGTGCTTGAAACAGGGACATCTGCACAAAGGTTGGGAACAGCATGCTCTGACCTTGCAAATACTTGAGTTGAATAAAACAAAACAACAAAAAACGTAACCCTTCTAACCAAATCTCTTGATACCTCCTTTTGAAAAGTGTTGACTAGTGCTTGAAGAGAGATTTCCTTTATGCCGGGATGTGATGGGCTCTCTTTGCCGGTAAGGAAGGAAGGAAGGAGCACAATTTTCCCTCCTCATCCTGTTTGGTCTCCCTTAAGCTCTGTGGCTATTCCTACAATGACCAGTGTAACTATGAGGATAACTGTAGCACAGTATATTTTTATCTACCTACTGTGTATATGCTCTGTTCTTCTTGGTAAGGTCCAGAACTGAGCCTTATAATTAAAGACCCCCCCCCTCCCCACTAAATTATATCTTTAACACCTGAACCTGAACCTGGACAGAATTGGAAAACAGTGATAACACAATACTTTGCTTTGAAAAACGTTCAAAAGTAATCTTATCTACAGTACGAGGCCACAGAACAGTAGAAAGTAGAACATATTCAACATATAGAATTTAACATCTGTTGGTTTTGTGTTTTTAAAATAATACAAAGGCAAACAGCTGCAGCTTTAACCTGTTTATTTATTTAAAGTATGTATTTTGGGGGCCTTTCATGCCTTTATTTGAGAGTCAACAGATGAGAGATGACAGGAATGAGGAGAGAGATAACACAACATTTATTTATTTATTTTTAATATATTTTTATTTTTTTAACACTCACACACGCGCTTACTGTTATTTAATTTAAATTTTTCTAATTTAATTTCTTTCTTTTTTTTTTAACACAAACACACATACGCTTTGATTACTTTACACTTTAATTACTTATTTAATGAAATGTATGGGGTTGATTGTTCTTATGTTGTATGTATGATGCTTCGGCAATATTGTTCATTCATTCATGCCAATAAAGCTAATTTGAATTTGATAAGGAAGGAAATGCAAGAAGTGTCTCCTGCCAGACTCAAACCAGGGACGTTGCCACTAGAGTGTCATTAAACTGTATGTTTGTAATGCAAGACATTACATTAACAAAACCCAAATTATTGTTATATTGAAGAGAAAATGTCAGTGTTAAACCTTTGAATTGCCACCCACATCTGATTTCTCTGATAAGTGAGGTATTGTGCCCGTTAAAACATGCGACCGATCAGAGTGTTTGAGGCAAATGGCAGCAGAAATAAAAAGCCACAATAATGGTGACAAGTGTGTATGAGACTAACATGGCTGTACAGGTTGATGTAAGTCCACTTACAGACAACTAAACAAGAAAATGTAAAATCTGCTGATGAATGAAGTGACACAAACTGTCGGATTTGGTTAGAACAACTTACTTAAAGGTGTGGTATGTGATTCTGGAAAAATAAAAAACCATGACAGATACAATCATATAGAGCGAGCAACCAAACAGCAAATAAATCTAACTAATGTTAAACTGTGGGTTGGCAAGCTGTCGCCACAGTTGCTGCTGTGATGCTCCCTGAGCAGGCACTCCAGCTCCAAACAGCGATACTCACAACTCTCCTGCTGCTATAGCTAACATCACAACAACAGCATGTCTTACTGACTAACTAAAAAGTAACCTGAATGTCCGTGGGCAAGTCATTTAACGTTACCTGACACACAAATCGTGGATTTGGTCCGGGCCACTTTGTTTGTTTTCCATTTACAGAGCCAGTTCAGCATGAACACTGACCAGACAACTAGCAGACTGTGAGGAGATCTTCGCTGTAAAAAATAGTCTTATGTATTTTTAAAATGTATAAAATACAGTATGGGGTGGCACTGTTGTTGAGTTGTAGCCACTCTTCTCTTAAGTTCACTTAAGCTTAACACATCTGATGAAAAGATGTACCTGCTTAAGGCCAAATTAACTGGAGATATTCCCTTTATGTTTCAAGCACAGTCAACTTATCTTCCCTTCCTTCGCCGTGCCAGGATTGTTAATCCTCTTCTCTGTCTCCTGGAGTGTTTACTTTAACAGGAAATGGAAATATACACATGTGGAGAAAAGATGACAACACTTCTATGAATGATTTTTACTTCCCTGGAGTCCCAGTGGTGCAATAAGATCTTCTAATTCAGATGCTGAGGCTGCTTATGTTATGTTTTCATGTTTCTCTTGCCTTGGTGTACTGAGGTTTTAAGATTAGAGGCAGATAAAAGTGGATGAATCATAGAAAGCAGCAGTTAGGGCCATCTAGCTGCCAGTGCTGGGAGTTGAAAGTGGAGATTTGTTTTTTCATTGGACTTTGTTGTGGGCTGGTTGTGTAATGTTGAGATTGTGATCTCTTAATGGGCTTTCTCCCCCTCTGGCCTAATTTTACCCTTTGACATCAGGGCTAGGTGCTTTAGCTTTATATTCACAACAAGAGCAGACAGCTAGGATCTTATGTTACTTGAATATCGTTTGACCTGTACTCTGTCTCCATATTCTCCCTTTTTTATTATGGGTCAGCAGTCAATCAACAAGCTTTGTTGTATTCAAATCATTTTATTTAAGTAAAAGTACCAATACATTCATGGAAAAATACTTAAAGTCCTGCATTCAAAGTCCTACATCAGTAAAAGTATTAGCAAAATGTAAGTAAAGTTTCAAAAGTAAAATATGCCCCCTCTAACTAAATGTATCACATCATTAGAGTCTTAATACTGATGCATCAATGTGAATGCAGCATTTTACTGTTGTATTTATTGTACACTTAATATACAGTTTGGTATTTTAGTACAGTGGCTCCCAACTCAGAGGTCAGCCCCCTCCTCCAAAGAGTCACAAGATAAATCTGGAGGGTTGTGAGATGATTGATGGGAGAGAAACAAGAAGTTACCCACGTTTGTATACATTTTTAAAACTTAAATTTTTGTTGGTGAAGTAATGGACTGTTTTACTCATAATTTTACCTCACAAAAAATATTTAAATTAAACTATCTGAGGAGTTTAGAGGGCAGGGAAGTCACCAAAAACATGAAATGTTAACTGAACCTTGTCCTGTTGTTGGTCTGCAGGAAAGTACCTTCTGCTACCCTCCAACCCCCAGCAGACACCGACAGCATGGCAGCCGTCAGCTGAGATCTCTAATTTGGTCCGGATGTGTTCCCTGAACCTTGGAAAGTCGGACCCCTCCCTCACCTCCAGCATGGTGAGTACTTCCTAAATCATGACCCCATCACGACATTTTGCATCCTGGTCTCGGCAGAAAGCTCCCATTACCTCATCTTTTGAACAAAGTTTGGTCAATACAAAAGCTTCTCTGTGTGAATTTCACTGAACCAGTTATGTAAGGATATGAAATACGGAACTTTTCCTACAAGATCATTTGCTTTTAAACACAATGTCTATATACATGATATTCAATACTCCGTGGTAATCAAACTTATTTTCTAAGAGGATATTCTGAAATACATAGTTGGCCAAAGATGATGGTTGCCACAGATACGATAGTCATGGGAAGAGAATTCAAACACCAATGAAAGTAAAATGAATAAGAATCATATACTTATATACATGTACTTAAACATGGATATATTTGGGTGGCGGCAATTCGATTCCCACTACGACATCCACCAATTTCTCCCTGAGCAAGACACTTAACCTCTAGTTGATCCAGAGGCGTGCAACCTCAACATATAGCAATTGTAAATCGCTTTGCATTAGAGCATCAGTTAAATTACTAATTATTATTATTATTATTATTATTATTATTTCTCAGTAGAAATCCCTGTTAACCAATCCCTGCCTAAATTCCACTTAAAATATACAGTGTATTTTTAGAGACATGAAGTACTTTAAAAGTTAATATACAAATTCTGTAGGCATAAATTTAGTATTTTGTTGGACTGGACCAATATTTTCAGGAAAGTATGCAACATGACTAAGACTCTCTTATATAAACAGATCAAACACACACACTTATACTTACACACCCTTATCTGCTCTGCTCACCTGTCATTCAACGGTCTTGTGCAGAGCTGTGCATGTCTGCCGACTTGCAGACAATTGCATGCACGTTGTGGTTCCTCTGCGGCCTATTCCAAGTACCCTATTGTTTAAAAATGATATTATATTCTTTGTGCGGTTCATCAATGGGCCCTGCGATGGACTGGCGACCTGTCCAGGGTGTACCCCGCCTTTCGCCCGATGTCAGCTGGGATTGGTTCCAGCCCCCCGCTACCCTGTAGGCAGGATAAGCGGTTGACGATGGATGGATGGATGGATGTTTCATCAATGGTTATAAATTATTCGAACGTACATACACACACACACACGCTATGCCACACATGTGCACTGACGCCACCTAATTTAAGGTTTAGGGTTACAATTTTTGATTTATTCACGCACTTTTCACATGTTTATTTTCAGCATTATATGTTGATATTTAGATCATAATAGGCTGTGTATTGACTTACTGGGAGAAAAACAGTAGTTCTGTGTAAAATAAGACTTTGAGCAACCCCATATAACCGGCTCTGCGAAGATTCGACTGCAAGATTGAATTGGGCTCGTCCTATTGAATCTTCGCCTATTCGGGGTCACCCCTAAAATCCATTAATTTCAATGGATACAGAACATGGCAAGCCACGAGTGTTCAAGGATACAGGGATTAAATACATTCAGAAAGGCAACCTTTTAGGATTGTTGCATTCCTGTTTAAGTTACAGGAACGTATGCAATGTAAGTCCAAATGCTTGAAAATGCACACATGATCAAAAAGAAAATCAGTAAAAAAAATACTAAAATAAAAACACATTTTTCAGTTGCATTCCTAGGTTGAACTGAATGAAGTCATGAAGACAGAGGTGACCTTCAGTGTAGTCCTACTCATACAGATACCCTGCTTTTGATTGTATCTCCTGAGAGAACAAGATCACGGTATACCACGTCACAAGCTAATCCAATGCTGGTAAACTATGACTCATTCCCAGCGTGGACTCGGTAGTTAGAGAAAAGGTTAATCTAATTAAAAAGCATGCGTTTGTGTCTGCACAAATACGTGTATGTGTGCTTGTGTGTGGGTGCTTTTAGAGCTCAACTGTGACAATATATTTTGGTAACTGACGCTTACACCATTAGTGATCTGAATGGGTCGACCCAGGAAAAAGGCACTGTAACCTGAATGAGACGAGGGCAAACTATTTCTCAGACAGCTCGTGACACGATGACCCTGTTTACACTTATAATAGCACTAATGCAGTAAATGATCCTGGTGACTGATTTTAAGATGTTGAATTTATGTAAAAAAAACCAAAAACATAGCATTGCAGTTACTTAGCTTGAAACACAATCTTAATGACTTAAATAATAGCTGATGCATCTCATGTGATTTTAATGATTTAATACTTAAATCTAACTACTGGTTTGTTATAATATCTAAATTAATTCTGTACACTGGGGGGCGCTAGTGCATTTTCAGTATTCAGAACAAAAACACATGTTTCCTTGTGCTTGTAAAAGCCACAAATTAGTCCCTTTGCTCATTGTGACCTGCAGAGTGAATAAAAACATGATTACCTGTAACACAATTGTCCTCCAGTGGATACGTCCTCCAGTCAGTGTTGATACAATTTAGGTTTTACAACCGGATGACCTAAATGAGTCTTTTAATGTATTTGACTTTGCCAGTATTTTAGGATATTTGTATTTTATAATAATGTTCCACTGATCTACTGAGCCCATGAATCAGTCGAAAGTTAATGGAAAGGCACACTCCCCCAGGTGTGGCTGTAAGATCATAAGGGACCCAGGAGACTGACTTTAAATTTTACTTAATTCAGCAAATGGGATAGATTTATGGTTAATATTAGGCTTATTGCCTAGGAAGGATACCAGTGTGCAATGCACATCCATGGTGCATCGCGTGCCCCTCCATCAAGTGCCATGCTGCAGCCTCCAAAATTTGTTTTTTATGAAAAAAAAGAAAAACAATGAGAACTCGGTGCGTCCACTACGATGTGAGAGATGTGAGTATTTAGGGACGTCTTCACTGACTGCTGACCGACTGAAACACATCACATCAGCTCTTCCATGGGCGAGTCCAGTAGTCTATCCGCTTTCGTGATGGCATTATTAAAGTCTTTTGTGCAAAACTATAACCAAGTGCTGCTGTAATGCTGTGTATTTTCTGGATATGTTTCAAATGCTTCGTATGCAAACATTGGATTTTCAAGAAAATTACTCTGAAAAAAATATTGTGACACTATCACTGAAAAATGAACAGTTTAGTCCACTGTTTTAAATCCTCTGTTTTTAAAAAATGAATGGGAAAACCCTTAAATGAGTTTCCTCTGGTTGAAAGTATTGATTGCCAACACAATGGCTTTTTTCCAACTGACTATTTTTATTCAATAATTTCGCTTTAAAATCTTCCCCACACTCCGTAGTCATTTGAATGTATACAGTATGCAGTCAGATGTCTCAGTGGATCATGTTTGTTTCTCCAGCTCGAATGTCATCTTATCCTTATTCTTATTCTTAACACTGTTTGCATGCCCCCATGACTCCGTGGGAAAATTAGATGCTGGTGACCACTGCTCAGATATTGTCTTATATAGACACAAGCTGAATGGCTGATGTTTTGCTACATCAGAATCTTCTGGAGTCGGGCTGCACTGACACCTCAGGGGGTACAGCCACTGTATTATCCTGCCTTCAGAACAAGCTTAGAAAAGATGGTGAATTGGTTGACCTTGGGAAAGGAGCAAAAGAGACAAAACACCTCAGCTTCAGGCCTTTTTCTTTGTTTTCCAAAATATGAATTGGATCCAAACAACTTCAGCGTACTTAACACTAGCAAAGATTATGCCTGTCGGTCATACAGACAGAGTGGAATTTGTCATAATTATGATTATATGACTGGAAAGCACATTAGTCGCTGGCCTTAGTGACAATGAATGAATGGAGAACTGCCAACATACACACTGCGTTGCTGCATCTAGTGTGCTGAGCATGAGATTGTTGTCATTTCTAACCACACTCCGATTTGGCACATATATCCATGTCTGAAGAGATTTAATTGGCTGTTGGATTTGGTTACTGTTCATTCAGTTTGAAATGGGCAAATTTGAAATGTGGCTGGTTTAGATTCAGGCTCTATTGCTGAAAAATGCAGAAATACTAGAAAAGTGACATTATTGTCGCTATTCTAGATTCGTTGCAAGGGCTTCCAGGAAAATGTAGAACTTAACTAAACAAAAAAAACAATGACGATAGCTGCGACCATGACCATCATTGTAGAGGGCCACTGCTGCTTTATCAGTTTGTGAATTGTTGGTCTGAGTACCTGATGTGTGTTTTATTAAGGTAATAATGTTGAAGTAAAACTAGTACTTAGTTTGGATCTTTTTGTATGGGTGAAACACTGCAGTCAGTAAACACTTCTGCACACTAGATAATGGCTCCCTGTCTTCACTTACTGCTGTGTGATGTTTTTAAGCGTAGGGCTGCAGATTATTTTGCATTTTTTCTTAAAAAATGACTGATTCATTTTCTGTCAATTTCATTAAGCAATTGGTTGTTTCAGCTCTAGTTAACTTATTTAAATATATTTAAAACCATATTATCCACATTAGCTTGTACACCTCTTTGGTAGTAATATAACTATTCTCAAATACTCACAAACGTTATAAATGACAATGGGAATGGAACTTTATTCACCCCCTTGTGTCCTACTTGTCTTCACCTTCACTGCAGGTTTAAGACTCCTTTGGTTTTGTCAGCCATGCTTTGCCTCACAGGAGTCCTGTTATTGCTTTTTGCCATTTTTTCCTCCTTTATGCTCTTCCATCATGCCCCTGGGTGTGCATGGCTCTTTGACAAGCGTGGCACATCTCTCTTGACTGTGATGCTTTTTGGCAGAAAATCAATACTTCACCTCTGGTGTGATATGGAGATAAGACTATCATAATCCTGATGTTGTGCCTTTGTGGACTCTCATTCTCCCTCCTAATCGTAGTCAGTGATGTCCTTTACTGATATCATTGTTGTTGGAGCAGTGTGTTGTTGCAAAGGAAGGAACTTCACTCTATGTTTACAAACTTTGGGTGTTGAGGTGTCTGGTCAGAAATACCATAGATTTTTCATAAAACACTGAACATGTATAGCTTTTTTAATAATAGCCCGCTTCTAATGTAATTATCAAGCCTG